TAATAATAATAATAATAATAATGATAATAATAATAATAATAATAATAATAATAATAATAATAATAATAATAATAATAATAATAATAATAATAATAATAATAATAATAATAATAATAATGACAATAAAGATGATGAAAATGATGACGATGATGATAATGATAATGGTATTGTTAATTACAGTGATAATAACAATAACATTAACAAAATAACAATAACGAAATGACGAAATAACAATAACAAATAATAAATAATAAATAAATATTAATAATGATAATAATAATTATAATAAAACTATCTATTATTGATCAATTGAAATGCTAATTCTTTTTTAGCATTTATTAAAATATCATACCCAACAGACAATACCGTAATAACTAATTACTGCAAAAACATGCATCCATGCATGCATTAAATGCAAAATATGCAATAAACTGTTTAATTTATTCAATTAATATTACCAACATATATTAATTATTTGTTTGATCAAAAATATATAAATGGAAAAAAGGAAGAGAATAGAATTCTTGATTAAACAATTGATAATGATGAGAATTTTTTTTGTTGAAACTTTTTACTGAAAATGTTTGCATTGATAGAATTCATTGTTCTTTGAACTGCTCAAGGCAATAATATTCGTTGATAAAAACGAATTTAAATTATAGAAATTAAAATTAGCGATGAATTTTTAAAAGATTTTAAACCAAGCATCGATAATTTAAGTTTTCAGAACTTGAAATTAACATATTCTGGAAGATTTCAAATTGAATATTTATGTTTTGAATTGAAATTAACAAAGTCCTAGAAGATTTGAAGCATAAATTTTATTTTTTTCAAAAAAAAACATAAATTTTATGCTTTGAATTGAAATTAACAAAGTCCTAGAAGATTGGAAAGTGAAATTAACAACGTCCTAGAAGATTTCAAACTATCCATATTTAAGAATTTCAATCCTGAATTTAATATACATTCAGAATTTGAAAATCCTCTTAATAACTTCTCAAATATTCATTCATCTTTAAGAATAACGTCATCGTACTATTGCATTATTCCAGTAGTAAAAAAGAATTCTTCTTTTTTACTCCCCTAACGGCTATTAGTAAGAATATGGCTTATTATTAATTGGAATACTTTACAGTGTATACTTAAGTATTAGTTAGAGTATACTTTGCCGAATACACATCAATACTATTTGATGTACACTGTTGTTTAAAAATTTGCATAGGAATATATAGATATATATAATTTAAAATTTGGAAAACTTGAAATTTTGTCCAAATTAAAATTTGTATTAAATTTTGATTGTTATTATTTTCAGTTTCACAAAATATGGGATAAGGAGAGAATGTTAATGGTTGCAAACGAATTTCTCAATATCTTCATTATTTGGAAATTAAGTATTTCCATTTTTGATATCACTAATACGATTTGTATTTAAATATTATTTCAGTTCATTTATTGTTTTCTAATCTTCAATTTTTTGATGAGAAGGAAAGAAGAAGTAAAAATTAAAAAATCAATTTAACTCTTGGAAAGAATATGGCATGTATATTTTAATGTTATTATTGAATTATTAATAAAACTAATTTGTATTTGTGAAGTGTTATCATTTATCAGATTTGTGATTGTTTATCATTTCCTTGTAAACTATTTGTTTATTCTCTTTCATTTTCTATGATGCGAACTGATCAAACATTGTTTTTCAAATTGATAATGCTATTTAACATCCACATGATTCATTATTTTTAACTTGAATAAAAAAATATTTCCGCATGAAATTGACCGGAAATTAAAAAAAGAGAAAAAGTGCAAAAAATGACAGACAAAATTCGAAAATTTAAAGTGAAACAAAACCATTGATATGATAAATTTATATGTTTAACTCTAATTTTTAAGCATTGAATTGAATTAAAGGTAAAAAAGCAATTTGACAAATTACTTTTTTCTATTTTATTAATTTATAAAAATTTTTGAAAATGATATATATTGCTAAATGAATTATCGATGTAATGAAATATACTTAAAAACCATAGGAAATTGATATTAATAGTTTTCCGTTTAAATAATTAATTATAATATTTGGCATCTTCCCGATGTCAATATCCGATTAATAATGATTAAACGTCGCACACCCATTTTGTAGAAAATCAAATTTTTGAAAACTTGACCTTTACACGATGAATTTCAACACAATTTCAATACATTTGTGTGTAGACGCACGTGCGTGCAGGTGTGTAGGCGTGTGAATGTAAGTGAGCGTAGGCGTGCATATGTGTGTGCGTGCAGGTGGGCGTAGACGTGCATATATATATATATATATGTGTGTGTGTGTGTGTGTGTGTGTGTGTGCGTGTGTGTGTGTGTGTGTGTGTGTGTGTGATGTACACTCCAGATAAGATTGCTAAATATTAAGAGTGTAAAATAATGAATAATCGGATTTGATTGATTACAAAATTAAAATAGATTAGAGCAGTATATTCTTTTTTTTGCATTAAAAGAAGTAAAAAGATGAGAAAGAGAAAGAGAGATTAGAGAGAAGTAATAATGAGAAAGTTGAAATATTATCAAAGTTAGTTGAATAGTTAGACATATTCCACTTATTGCTGTTCGATTGCTATTCCTCTGATAATAATTAGTTTGAAGATGTATGGTATGAACAGACAGATTCGAAGAAATGAAATAGAGAATATAAGGAGGAAGAGATAATCTTCCAGGAATGCGGTCGAAGAAATGGAATAGAGAACATGAGGAGGAAGAGATAATCTTTCAGGAATGCGGTCGAAGAAATGGAATAGAGAATATGAGGAGGAAGAGATAACCTTCCAGGAATGCGGGGTTTTGAGGGTTGAAATTATCTTTCATTCCATTTCGTATGGCAAATGTTAAACAACAACGAATAGCTTTTTAACTACAGCTTCAGTTACAGATGCAGTGGCAAATGCAGTAACAAATGTAGCAGCAGATGCAGTAACAAATGTAATAGCAAATGCAGTACCAAATGTAGTACCGGATGCAGTACGAATGCAGTAGCAAATGCAGTAGCAGATGCAGTAAAGAATGCAGTAGCAGATGAAGTAGTAGTATCAGTAGTAGCATGAATATTTCAACCTTATCTCCTCCTCTTCATCCTTCATTTTCTTCCTCATCCTTTCACTCTTCATCTATTGCCCCAGCATCTTCTTCCTGAGGTCTATCGGATTCGAAATAATTCCACTGCTAACCATTTGGTGAAGATCATTCCCATTCCTGAAGATTGACATTTTGTGGAAAGGTATTGGTAAGTTTATCACTTATCAATTCTTATAATTACTAAAAATGTTTTAATTTTGAAAAGAAATATTTCAATGAAACAAAGTGATAAAATTATCTGTTTACTGATTAAATTATCACCCATATCACAAGTGATAATTTAAGCAGTAGATGGATAACTTCATCGGTAAAACTTGTTATTGTATTCCTAATGTTTATCGAATAATGATTGATGTTCACGAAATTAATAATATGATCTGAAATGTTCCGAACATATAGTTAATAGTTTAATTTTAAATTTAGTATGATCTGAAATGATTTGAATTCATAGTTAATAGTATGACCTGAAATGAGCCGAACTTGTAGTTGATGATGAGATCTGAAATAATTCGAACCTGTAGTTAATAGCATGATCTGTAATCACCAAACTTATGGTTCGTATAATCTAAACTTCCATATATAATAAGATCTGAAATGATTCAAGTTTATTGTAATAAGATCTGAAACTTGAAAGCATAATTCATTTTTCCATCACAAATTTTAGCTCTATGAATTTTTTAAAATTCATCAAATTACATAACGTTATGAATTCACTAACATGAAGCGTGCCTTACGTACGTTACGTGTGTAAAACAAAAAAACTGAAGTGTTTAAAACTACTTAAGTTAGATTAAAAAAAAAAGTAAAACGGAATAACAGTACTTTAGTAATGTAATACTGCTTGCATTACATTGCCAATACATTATTTTTGCATAAATTACAATTGGGATCTAAAAAGTAATTACAATTTTGAATTGTTACAGCAAAACGTCCATTTATTAATTAAAATTGTAATCTATTAATCAAAAACAAATTCCATTCTAATTAATATATTTTTATTAAGATTAGGAAGAAGTAAGCAGCTAATTTCCATTCAGTAAATACTTAATGAATTAGTAAATAATTGAGAAAAGATTATTTTTATAGTTTTGTTTCACAATATTTTGAGATTACTCATTAATCCGACGAGCTAAAATCGAACTTTCTTTTATCTTTTTTTTTCTTTTTTTCACTAAGAATAGTGCATTTTACTGATTATTGTAATATAACTAATAGATTTTCTTTTCTATAAATCTATATAAAATTATCCTTATAAGATTTTAATTAATATATCTTATGAAAAAAAACGGATGAAAAATTTCTACATTTATCAAATTTACTGAAAAAGATTGGACCATTCCGATAGTTTTTTTGAAAACTTTTTCGTAAATTTTCGGTTTTTTTTACAAATCCATGGATGTATCAATTATATGAACCCATTAATTTTATTATATTATCAACTTCCAGCACACTTATTGGATTTGATATTTGGTTGCTGACATTTGAACGTTCTTCTTCTCTTCAAATCAAGTTAGTTTTTTTATAAAATTTCTTCATCCAATTATTTTGAAATTTTTCGAATTTCTTTTTTTCTTTCAGAAAAAAATTGATAGAAAATATTTTCTTGTCTTAAAAAGAAAACAAAGTCTTTGATTAGCTAAAAATTTGAGAAATGACATACAGGTGACATAATAATACTATCCTATCTCATGTAATACTTTTGGAAGCATAAAACTATTTGAAGATTAACGATTGGATTTAATTTATCAAAATAACATAGCTGTAAATTTGGTTTCGATTGACATTTTATTCACACAATTAATTTATCTTAATATGTGATTATTTGCTCCATGGAATCATTCACTAACCGCCACCACTTTGATTTTATTAAAACTGTTAACAAGAAGTTAACTGAAATTCCGATTTTTTTTTTTTGCAAATTATATAGTACCTTAGCTATAGTAATAATCGGAATAAATTTATTCCATATGATTTATCCGGTTATATATCCGGAATAACGTATGTGCACTGCATATCTAACATATAACATCGACTTCAGTTAATCTAAAAAAAAAATATTTAAGTTGTCGATAAATATCACATCATATAGTTCCAATTAAATTTCATATCGTTCAGTCTTATATCAGCTAATCAATGAAGAGCAAAATTTTCTTAGCTTGCTTTTGAAATTTCTGCTATCATTTTTACCAGGCATATCGTTATCATTGTTATCAACTTACACTATGATTGGATGATATTTAGGTTGCATTCTCTATTTTATTATTATGCAGTTGATAATATTTCAAACCAAAAAAAGTGAACTTTAATTTCCACTATTATTATCAAATCTTTGCAGCAATCTTTTTTAAGTGTAACTTTAAATATTTCCTAATTTTTTTAAAGTAACTGAACTTTTTTTTGAATAATTTTAAGTATTTCTCAATCTTTTCCCAAAATCATTAAATATTTCTTATTTTATGCTAACATCCACCCAAACCAATTTAACTTCATCAAATCTTATTGAAATGAATACTTTGTGAGGAAATAAAATTCTACAAGTCTTTATTTTTCATCTTTATATATATATATATATGCTAACTATTTATTTAATTGCCAAAAAATTTTTGAACTTTGTTAACAAAAAAAAAGTCACTCAGTTAATATTTTTCAATTAAAATTGATTTATTTACAAAGTATTTGCAAATGAATATTTCATTAATTTTTATTAAGCAAAGAAAAAAAATGAAAAAGAAGAATTGGATGGCATCAGATAGGAAAAACAGTTGTTCCGGTGAAATTTTAATTTGTTTTAGCATTAATGAAATTAATTTCTGTACAACTTTCCGTCATCCAATAGTTCAAAATATTTTGAGTTAAAATTCACATTATAAATTAAATTTTGAATTAAATTTAAAAACCTCTTTTAACCAAAAAAAAATGAAATTTAACAATTTAACAGCAAAATAATTCTCATAGTTTTATAGTAAAATTTTTGAACGATTTCAAAATTGCGAATCGAATTATTACAGTAGGATTCTTTTTTCCATTTCTTTTTATTTTTTTGCTAAAACAATTACCTATCGAATAGCTTTTATATTAAAATATCATTTCAGCAGATTTTGTTGAAAAAAAAAGGAAGAAAAAAAAGAAAAGTTATTCGATATACAAGTGAAGAATAATAATTTCAATATCAACTTTAATTAAAAATCGTCCAAGATTAATTTTTTCATTATTATACTATTTTATTATTATTATTTTTTTATTTTTTGTTCCATCAAAATACCATATTTTATTTGTAATCGAATATTGCCTAATGATATAAAATCATTTTAATTTCAAATTAAAATTTAGTATCTTATAATGTTATACATACTAATAATTACATTAAATTAAGTTGATAATTGAATTTTTTGCAGTTATATTATCAGCTTAATATGTGTCATTGTTCTGCTTGTTTCTTTTTACCTTCCCAACTTTTCCATTTAGAAAGAACAATTTAAAGATCGAAATTAAAAAAATTCATTTAGAAGAAACAATTTGAAAATTGAAATGTTTTGAAGATTTCAAATCACAAATGAATTAGGTTGTCCGAATTTCAATTTAACTAATCCGTAGGAAATAATACATAAAGCAAAACTGGCAGCATATTGGATAAATGTTACCTGGGTAAACATATCGTATTATAGTAGTAGCAAAGTAGAAATGCTCCCAAACGTTGTCGATAGGTAACCGATGGATAGCTTTGTGCAAAATTTCTATTATATAATTTATTACAACGATAAATATTGCAGGTAATAACGTGTACTATTGATTGATTTCTTATATTCTTGATCAGCTTCTCACATTATTGATTGATTATGCATATTATCGATTGATTTCTAATCAAATCTTCAAATGGTTTTCTTTCTAAATTTATAACTTTTAATAATATCACATTATCGCAATAATTAACTTCTCTTTTTAACATTTTTTGCCATCCCTTTTCGATATGAAATCTAAAATTGTATTCGAATTATTTTCATTCTTATATTGAATAATACAAATACAATTTTATATTCGAATTATTTTTTTTTGTGTTTAAACATTTAAATGTATTTAAAAATGTATTTAAATATAAGTGCATCTTTTTTTCTCCATTTGCAGAGACTAATTTCATTAACATTTTTCAAATGATTTGAAAAAGATATTTTTGCCATGACAAATAAGAAAATATTATTAATCTTAAATACAATGAAAAAAAAGTAAGTAATTAAAAAGATTACAAATTGGAATAATTTCGTTTCACTTAAAAACGCTAAAAATTAATACCGGATGATTTTTGATCAACTTTTTACATTATTGATTGGTTTCGTTTAAAATGACAATGAATTTTACCTTTTACTTCAAAAAAAAAAGTTAGAAATTGATTAATGTAGCACTTGAAATGAAATACGAAAAGAAAAAAGTTATTAAAATAGTGGTCCGCCAAATTTAAAATCGAGCATTCCAATTTATTAATTAGTTGATTAATTAACTTATTTGCCATTCTTTTCAGTCACTTGGTAATTTAATAGTAACATTATAAAATTTCATCAAGATTAAAACCGTTCAACCGTAAACAGAACTATACCATTAACTAATAACTTTACTATATCAATAAGAGCCCCCTGTATTGATCAAAAGTATTGATCTAAAGTACTAGTTAAAAGCACTGATCGAGAGTATTGATCGAAAGTATTGATCTAAAGTTTTGCAACCAAGGAACATCCAGATATTGATTGGTGATTTGGACTTTGAACAAATATAAAATTTATTTAATATCTTCGCTTTATCGATAAGAGCCACCAAAAGCATTAGATTTAAAAATTTTAAATTTTAAAAATTTTAAATTTAAAAATACTCCGAACTCTTCTAAATTTTTAACATTTTAAAAGAGACAAGAAAAGATTTTACTTTTAATTCTATTTTCTCTAAATTTTAATATTCCATTCACTGTGACATTGTAGCAAACTAACAAATTATTCAGAGTATATGACAGCTTTGTATATCATATATTACATCAAATTTGAAATTATTTCCAGCTTATTACTAGAATCTGATAGTGGATAAGATCGAAATTTGGATTAAATTTTAATTAGAGTGCGATCAATAACTATCATCTATAAAATTATGTGCTACTGTCTGTGATGCTTATTTGAACGTGGTATTCATTAGATTGCAATCTAATAACTATTACTCATCATTATGCGCTATTGTCATATTGCTACGATGGATCAGTATCATTCATCATTATGCGCTATTGTCTATGATATTTATGAGCGCTTAACTTAATACTTTCACTATTTCTGTTTATATTCCTTCATTTCCTTTTTCTTTTTTTCGTTCTTCATTACTAACATTTGTAATTCTTGAAATATTCTTTAAGTACCTGAAACCGAGCATGAAATTCCACAGTGTCACATTGTTTATGAAAATATTCGTCGAGGAACTTCTTCCGGTATGTTTTTTCCGTTATTTTTAAATATACTTTAAACTGAATCTAAATTAAAATCATGAGGTAAATGTAGTTTTTTTCCTGTAACTTTTAGCTAAAATTAACTTTTTAAATTCAAATTTTTAAAAATTTTCAATTTACACCATTTCCTGAAAATCTTTTAAATATATTCACTTATTACGAATGATTACATATTTATTTATTATGAATAATAAACAATACATTCTCATATTTCAAGAATTAAATATTAATTAGATATGATAAACGTTTGGATATCGGCAAAGATTTAGAAATTAGCATCAGATATCAATAAAGGGATAAACGTAAAAAGTAATTGATTGAGATATTAGCCAAGAAATAAACGTGAAAAATAAAGTTTGATTACGTGAAATGTAGTATTGATAGCATCGTTTGTTAAAATGATTCATTAAAGCAAATATATGTTAGCTTAGTTTTTTTTTTGATATTACAAATTAGATATACTTAAGTATTTGATTTCTTCTCTCTCTCTCTCTCCCTCTCTCTCTTCAAATATTATCATTCATTTGGAATACATGTTTTTCTCACTATTATATTCATCAATTTTGTTTTCCTTTGTTTTTTTTTTTTAATCAAATGAGCATGATTCTAACATGTTATTATAATTTTAATTTTGATCTTAAATTTTAAATTCTCGAAGAAATTACTTCTTAACTTTAACAATTAATTTAATTAGCAAATTGAAATTAGGATTTCAAAAGTTAGGATTACTAGAGTTTCAAAAATTAAAATTTCAAAAACTAAGTCATTATTCGAATTAAATTGTCATCTTCCTTTTTCCTTTTTTGAAATTTTTTTGAAAATTCGCTTCTTAATTTGAATATTTAATCTAATTGCCAAAATTTTGTTAAATATCAATCAAATGATTACTCGAATTAAATTATTTCCTTCTTTCCCTTCCTATTTGCAAAGTTTCAAAATTTTTGGATGAATGAAGCGATAAATGCCAATAAAGGGGCATAAATTTAGAATGTTTATGAATTTAAAAAAAAAATAATTTATTGAATTTTTGAAGTAAAAACGGAAAAAAAGGGGCTTGAATAGTTGTTTGAGTAAAAGTCTAATCTAATACTTTGTAATATTTGTTGACAATATTTTACAAATATCAATAATCCTTATCATCCAAAGCATTTACCTGTGACATACCTTTAATCTCTGATCACTTCCCTCAAATCATTGTTTTTTTTTATTTTCGAAATGGACGAGAATCAAATTCCTTT